CAGTGGTGTGATCTCAGCTCACTGCAACCTCTGCCTCCCAGGTTCAAGTGATTCTCCTGCCTCAGCCTCCTAGTAGCTGGGATCATAGGCGCCATCATGCCTGGCTAATTTTTGCATTTTTGGTAGAGATGGGCTTTCACCCTGTTTGTCAGGCTGGTCTCAAACTCCTGACCTCCTGATCTGCCTGCCTCGGCCTCCCAAAGTGCTGGGATTACAGGCGTGAGCCACCGCGCCCAGCCGAAACCACTGTATTCTTTCAGACTCTTTTCCTATGCATGTACATGTATATGGATGTATTTGCACGAATGTGAGATACATTCTGTCTTTCCATTTTACAGTTTGTCAGGAATTCCTCTTCAGTCTGTCATCCACATTGGTTGAAGCATGTGTTGGCCTTTCCCTATTTATAGAATTGTAGGTGGTTTTTAGCAGTTTAGGGTTAAAATCTGCTCCATGATGCCGCTGTGATATGTTCTTGATGAGACTTATGTTTCTGATGATACAGCTAGGAGCCTTGATGAAATAATCCCTTATCATCAGGAACACACTTGACGCCACCTCAAAGACTGTTAAATGTTACAACTAGGAGTATTTTGTCTACTGGGTGTAGATTTTACTAGGATCAGTTTTGGAGAGTAAAAGTTGACCTCCTGAGACTTCGTTCTCAGATTATGAAAATAAACTATCTGGACCCGTAGAGTTCATTTTCACCACCCACAACAAGGTATTTGTGTATTCATGCACACACACACACAGTTTGACTGTAAGGCGATGCATGGCTAGAGGAATTAATCTAACTACCTTGCAGACTTATTTATTACAGTTTAATATAGAATACTCCTATTTGTTTATTCATTTGTTCAGTGTTTATCAAGTACTTATGAAATGTCAAACATTTTGCTAGGCCTAAAGCTGCAGAGATGTAGGAGACGCATTTCTTCTTCTTTTTTTTTTTGAGGCGATGTCTCACTCAGTCGCCCAGGCTGGAGTGCAGTGGCGCAATCTCCGCTCACCGCAACCTCCACCTCCCAGGTCCAAGTGATTCTCCTACCTCAGCCTCCTGAGTAGGTGGAACCACAGGCGCGTGCCACCACACCCGGCTAATTTTTTGTATTTTTAGTAGAGGCGGGGTTTCACGGTGTTAGCCAGGATGGTCTCGATCTCCTGACCTCGTGATCCACCCGCCTTGGCCTCCCAAAGTGCTGGGATTACAGGTGTGAGCCACTGAGCTGGGCCCCAGGAGATGCATTTCTTAGCCTTAACCCAGAGTTGAATGGAGGGGCTGGCCTATACACTTGGGCTGGCACAGGGCATGCGTGGGCCAGCAGGTGAGCTCCAGTAAGTCGGCATGGGAGGAGCAAGGAAAGCTTCCCTAGTGGTGAGATTTGAGCTGAGTCAGGGAGGATGGGAGGGAATTTGCAGTTTGACAGGGAGAAAGGGCTCTCCTTGTCAGGCAGGCAGAGGGGACATCGAGTGGTGGCTAAGGAGGCCAGCAGGGGTGACACTGCAGGACTGGCAGGCAGGCGGTGGGCAGCTTCCCTTTTTCCTCAGTGCCTCCGCTCTCCTGCTCTGTAACATAGAACCCATGACTGTTACTTACCCCAGGATTAAAGGATTCAATACATGTGGAGCCCTTAGAACCACACCTGGCAGAGTGAGTAGCCCTCGCAGTTCAGCTAGCTAACTCAGAGGAATGTCAGCTATTTATTGTTAATTTGGGCAGCACGACTGTTTTTTTTTTTTTTTTTTTTTTTTTTTTTTTGAGACAGAGCCTCGCCCTGTCGCCCAGGCTGGAGTGCAATGGTGCGATCTCCACTCACTGCAGTCCCTGCCTCCTGGTTCAAGCGATTCTCCTGCCTCAGCCTCCCAAAGTGCTGGGATTACAAGCATGAACCACCATGCCTGGCCCTTTGGCAGCATGACTTTTGAGGAGTTACATTAACCCATTCAGAACCCTGAGACCTCAGTGGGACTTGTTGCTAGATTATTTTGGACTGAGGATCCTGAAAAGGAAAATGCCTGCCATGGACTCAGCCATATCCAGAGTGCTGGGAGATGGAGCTAAGTAATGAACATATTGCCTGTTTTTACTCTCTGTATCTCAGGATCTGTGCCCTTTTACTCCCCTCTGTGGAGGGGGCCGGCTCTTTTGGCCTGAAACGTTAGCCCTGGAAGTTCCTGGGTGAACAAGCTAGTCATGGAAGGGGAAGAGCATCCCTTTAGTCCCTCCTCTCCATTTCTGCTCTTACACCAGGCTGTTGAGGTTTTGGTTATGTTTAGCTCAATTTTTTAGTAACTGCTGGGCGTGGTGGCTCACGCTTGTAATCCCAGCACTTTGGAAAGCCAAGGTGGGCAGATCACTTGAGGCCATGAGCTCGAGACCAGCCTGACCAACATGGTGAAACCTTGTCTCCACAAAAAATACAAAAATTAGCTGGGTGTGGTGGCGCGCACCTGTAATTCCAGCTACTTGGAGGCTGAGGCAGGAGAATCGCCTGAACCCAGGAGGCAGAGGTTGCAGTGAGCCGTGATTGCGCCACTGCACTCCAGCCTGGGCGACAGCAAGACTTTGTCTCAAAAAAAAAAAAAAAGAATTTTTGAATAACACATTTACTGTATGGGGGCAGTTATGCAGGTGTGAGCCGGATCACCTTTGCCCTCCTCCTTTTGGTTCTTAAGGGCAAACCTCCCAGCAGGTGGCAGTACAGCACGGTTGGCCTCCTGTCCTGTGCTCTGCAGAGGTGGGTTGGACCAAGGTCAAGATTAAAGTTTAAAGATGCAAGCCACAGCTTTGTACACAAATAGAATCTGTTCATTTAAACAGGGGAAACTTTATTGTTTCGGCACACATGAAAACTGAAGGTAGCCTTCGTAGTAAGCCACATGTTTTTCTTGTCAGCTCTTTACTTCTAAACAAGATGTTTATACTTCACACTGCCTGAACTGGTACCAAAAATTGTAGTTTGTTCCCAACTAGCAGAATAATCTTTCTGAAGTGCTTAAAATTAATCAAAAGATTAATCGTACCTGTTTATGTCCCCTATCAAATATAGAAAAATCTGTGTTACCCCCTCTGCTAACGTGTTACTCTCTGTTGACATGTACAAATTACTTCTCAGTACAAAGATCTGATTTCCTTAAGCTGACCCATCAAAAGGAGTTGTTAAGGGTAGAGTCCAAATCAGGATTTCTTCATTTCAAGTAGTTCAAATGCCAAGTTTATATTTCCCCAGCCTACCTTTTTTCCCCTTTTCTCTTGGGGTGGAGTAAAATGTCCCTTCTGTGTTTTTTTAATTTTCATATTGCACCAGATAGTTTTTAGGACTGCTCAGAGTCAGCTGGATTCGTGAATGGAATATTTAAAGAGACAGAACTAGAATAGAAGTTGAGATTGGGTGCAGTGGCTCATGCCTGTCATCCCAGTGCTTTAGGAGGATGAGGCAGGAAAATCATTTGAGGCCAGGAATTCAATACCACTGGGCAACATAGCGAAATCCTGCTGCTGCAAAAATTAAAAACAAACAAACAAAAAGATTAGCCATACATGGTGGTGCATGCCTGTAGTCCTAGCTACTCAGGAGGCTGCGGTGGGAGGATTGCTTGAGCCCAGGAGTTTGAGGTTGCAGTGATCGTGTCACTGCTCTCCAGCCAGGGCAACAGAGTGAGATTAGATAGATAGATAAACAGATAGATAGATGGATAGATAGATAGATAGATAGATGAGAGAGAGAACAAGAGCTTAATTGCTTTTTAAAATATAGATTTCATCTATTTCTTTCTCTCTCCTCATCTTAGTGTGTGAGATTTTTGAAGACAGGGCCCCAGCTTCATTTTGTCTTTCATGAGTAAACATCGCTCTGATGGTGAAAGTACTTTGCTGAAGTGACTCAACTCTGGAATTTTGAGTCATCCTTCATTTGGTCCAAGCAGAAAAAGCCTCAGTAAATACTAAAGTGCAGCAAGCTGTTAAGCCCTTGATAAATCTACTCATAATTTGTTTGCCTCTTGATCAAAATGTTTCCTTTTAAGAGGCATTTTAAAAGTTTTAGAAGTCTAATTGTATGTTTCTTTACTTTTATACAGAAAACATCTCCTGCAAAGATCTGTAGGTAAGTTTACTGTCCTCTCCACAAAAAGCCCTAATATAAGATTTAACCTAATTTCAACTTGGATGATAAACTATTGAAGATTCACACTCTGGAAGGTGGCAGAACAATTTATTACATTCATTCATGTGTCTCTAATTTGTGTCTTAGTCTAAAATTTCCTGTGTTTCTCTTTTCTTTCTGAAATATTTTATTCCAAAAGAGAAAACATCAGAACGAACCTGGGCTAGATTTCAGTCATTGATGCCCAAAACCTTACTAATAGTTGTGTGATACTGATGGAGAATGAAAATGAAAAACATGGAAACAACTTCAAAATTTAAAAGTAATGTTTGCAGTCTATTTGATCTTTAATATTTTCCATGGTGGAAGAAGCACCAGCCTGTGAGTCCTGGGGTCTGAACTGCAGTCCTGGGCCACAGCAGGGTGATCACGGGCAGCCTTCCTCATCCTCTGTGCCTCAGTTTCCTCAGCTGGAGCGTAAACCAGGCCATTCTCTTCTGCAGACCCTGGTGCCTGCAGCATTGGAATTGTAACCTGGGTGCCTTGCATCTGACTGCTTCCCGCTTCCTCTGCAGGCCAAGCAGCTGAGTCCCGGAGACAGAAAACCAACAGAGGTGCTTTGATAGATGGAGTTAGGATTTCTGCTGCAGCTATTTCTGGGCTTTCATCCAATCCCCCACCCTCCTTTTATTCCTTTACTACAGGTTGCACCTTGAAAGAACAAGACGAAACCAAACTTCAGGACTTACCCTCCTGCTTAAAAGGAGATTAGCAGCTGTCAAAGAGAGGCAGTAAAGCTCATAATACCTGATTCAGTCAGGTACTGCTTGGGAGGGAAGGCGGGCAGCTGTCTCACACTCGGGCATCGTTCGTCTTCCACAACCCCAAGAGGTTATCTGTTTGGGGGGATCTCTGATGCTCCTTCCCCGTGGATGGGGAAGCATCCTCTATTCTGTGAAGCCTTTAACTATAGGTAGACACCAAACCCATCAGGATTCTCTTCTCCTCCCACCCTGAAACCTGTCTTTTCCTAGGCAGGCCCATGAAGCTCCCCTGACAGTATTCCCCCCTCTTACCCCACTTTTGCTTTGGATTCTTCTCTAGGTCATTTGTGTGTTGGGGTACCTTGAAAGTCAGCAAGGCTATAGGAGTGGGCAGGCTGGGGTAGAGAAGTGTCCTGAGCCTCAGGCTGCCACATGTTGTCCTGACCTTCCCAAGGCAGTGGAGCCCCAGCTCCGAGGGCCCCTCTTCCAGTCCTGCCCCTGGCCCAGCCAGTCAGTGCTGGTCCGTTGGGTACACTGGACAACTACACATGGTTACAGCAATGAGGACTGTCAGAATTGATCAGCATTCCTGTTTTCAGTTTACTAAGATTACATATAAGTTGTTGTGTGTTACATATATATGTCTATGTGTGCATATAAAAAACATGTACTCTTTATGTAGAATGCAGAATATATGTTGGTAGGAGATGACATATGAGAGTGAAAACATTGTATTCGGTGTTTTCTTTCATGCCTTTGATCTTTTGCTGTATGCTGCCTGATGGAATAGTCAGTAGTCAGGGGACACTATATATATGTTGCCTCTATAAAATGGAAAGAGGAGAGAGACTAAGTGAAAATTTCGGTTTTGTGCTTTCTGGCGCCTTCTTTTACAAAGAGAGGGTGGGGAAAGCTAGAGGCAAGAGCTTTTGGCATATGAAACTTAGAAGGAATAGGCTGTAAACCAGGGATTACTGAACCAGCTCCAAGTTGACTTTCTAATGAGTGAGGATCGCTTCCTGAAAATATCTGGGTTTGGCAATGTTACTTTCTGTGCAAGAATTTTTCAAAATTGCTTTATTGTGGAAATTTCTAAATATATATCAAAGTAAACAGAATAATGTCATGAATGAAGTCCTGTGCTCCCAGTTCCCAGCTTTAACCATTTTCAGCTTCTGGCCCCACCCACTGCCTTGCTTCAGTATTTATTCCAGGCATCTTAGTATTTCATCTGTGAATATTTTAGTATGTATAAGAGATTTTTCTAATAAAATGTTTTACGAGGGGAAATTTAAACCTGCAGAAAGGTGGCAAGAATATTCCAGGGAACTCACATGTATTCTTCACCTAGATTCACCCATTGGTAACATTTTTTGCATTTGCTTTCTTGCTATCTCAATGTGTGTACACACACACACACACACACACACACATATCACATTAAATATATGATAATGTAGGTATTATTCTTGCTCTTATTTTTCCTGAATTGTTTGAGAATAAGTTATAGAGGTCATGAATTTACTCCTAAATACCTCAAACTGTGTCTCCTAAAAACAATCCCTTAGATACCCAAAGTGCAATCATTGAATGTAGAAAATAACGTCTGATCTGATATTATTTAGTATTGAATCCATGTTCAAATTTTGCCAGTTATCACAATAGTATCTTTTTTTTTTTTTTTTTTTT